TTCAATAACCATGAGGGGGGATTTGATAGCAGCCTTCAACTACCTGAAGGGGGGTTCCAAAGAGGATGGAGCTCGGCTGTTCTCAGTGGTGGCAGACGACAGAACAAGGGGCCAGTGGTCTCAAGTTGCAGTGGGGGAGGTCCAGGTTGGATATCAGGAAAAACTATTTCACTAGGAGGGTGGTGAAACACTGGAATGCGTTACCTAGGGAGGTGGTGGAGTCTCCTTCCTTGGAGGTTTTTAAGGCCCGGCTTGACAAAGCCCTGGCTGGGATGATTTAGTTGGGAATTGGTCCTGCTTTGATCAGGGGGTTGGAGTAGATGACCTCTTGAGGTCCCTTCCAACTCTGATATTCTATGATTCTATGGTCTCCTAGTGCCATTTCAGAGCTCTGAAATAAACTTGGCTTGCTTTCTCCCCTCGGTGTCTTTATTGGTGCCAAGCACACCGGGCAACGAACCCGTTTGCCATCTCGAGGCCCAGTTCTGGCAGGCAACAGCAGCACCCAGGAGACGTATGGTGACGGTGAGCTGAGTGGGCTCCATGCTTGCCGTGGTATGGTGTCTGCACAGGTAACCCAGGAAATAAGGCTTGAAACGATTGTCACGGAGGGGGGGGGGGTGTTTGTGTCCTGACGACATGTGCCCAGAACCACCCGCAACAATGTTTTTGACCCATCAGGCATTGGGAGCTCAACCCAAAATTCCAATGGGCGGCAGAGACTGCAGGAACTGTGGGATAGCTACCACAGTGCAACGCTCCAGAAGTGGACACTAGCCTCAGTACTGTGGACGCACTCTGCCGAGTTAATGGTCTTGGAGTGGGGACACACACAATCGACTGTGTAAAATCGATTTCTAAAAAATCGACTTCTATAAATTCGACCTAATTTCGTAGTGTAGACATACCCTCACAGATGAATCCTGGGGGCGCTTGGCTCCTGGCCCTGCTGGGTACTGACATGCCTGGTGCCCCAGGGCCTTATCACCAGTCCATTCCCAGGCTTGGCATGGCAGTACATTTCCTTCCCAGTCGCTGTCCCCTGGTATTAAGCAAGGGACTCCGTGCTGGGGATGTGTACCTGGGAGCACACGGCCCCTGAGAACAGACAGGCCAGGCTGCGGGGCGAGGGCTCCCAGAGAGAAATGGCAGGAGGGCAATGCTGGGAACTCCCAGGCCGTCTTCAGCTAGAGCATGAGGGCGCCCCAGCATCCCAGAGAGCATGAATCTCGCTTCAGATCAGCCTTTGTTCCCCCCCCCCCCGTACTCTGTGCTAGATGGGTTGGTCTACTAGAGGGACGAAAGTGTCGATCAGGAGTTCCTGGCTTATCCAATGTCAGTTTCCAGCTCTTGTAAAAAACCAGTGACTTCCCTTACACAGGAGCTGGCGTTCTTCAGGCTGTGCTGTGCCTGTAGACGTTCCACTGTAGGGGCGTGTGCACCCAGGGCACATGAGTCACAGACGTTTGCCAGCAGTACCACGGAGCGGTGCCTGTGCCCCCGCTCTCCCCATGCACTCAGGCACGGGCATCAAAAGGGCACATCCACCACCTCCCTCTCAAGTCCTTCACACCTGCGTGCTGCCAGGTGAACATCCCCATTTCTACTGAGACCTCAGGGACAAGGTTTATATGAACCGGCTAGGGTTGATTCCCCGCCCTCGTGTTGCACCCCTACGGCTAGCTGGGGATCCAAACTGCCACTCACTGGTTTGAGCCCCTGCCTAGCCAGGCCCTGTTCTCTCCCCTAAGGCAGTTGCTGGCCCTGAACCCCTGCAGGCAGCCATGACACACAGGAGCTTGGGGCTCGAGAGAAGGGCTATCGCCGGCTGAATAATCCCTGCCTATAGGGTGGGGATCGAGGCCACTTTGCCAGAATTGGGTCCCTGAGCAAAGCCCCTCTACTACCTGCCTGTGTCCTAATCGCCAGGACAGTGGCCAATCCCACCTTCAGGTCAGGTTCCAGCATCAGGCCCTGTCGATACCCACAGCGTGTTGCACCCAGCGTGCGCTGATAGACTCTGGAATATCCAGTAAATTCACAGACACTGGAAACTGCCTAACACCGGGCAGGGGGGCTGGGAGATGTGTAGGGTACAGAGCACAGCGCCCCTAATGTCGGGCAGAGGGGCTGTGAGATGTGTAGGGTACAGAGCACAGCACCCCCTAACACCAGGCAGGGGGGCTGGGAGACAGGGGATGTGTAGCGTACAGAGCACAGTGCCTCTAACACCTGGCAGGGGGCCTGGAAGCTGGGGGAATATGCAGGATACAGAGCACAGCACCCCCTAACGCTGGGCAGGTCTGCCTGTGCTGTAATCCCAGCCTGGCACAGCAGTGCAGACAGACCCTCGCAAGCCCCAGCTACAGTAGGAAATGATGCCCCCAGAAAAGAGCTGCCAGCAATGGCTTCCACCTGAGCCCTTATTCTCCCAGCTCAGTCACACCCCCGAGCAGTGCTGCAATGATTTGGACCCATCTACTCCAAAGGCCAAACTAGTTTAGAGGGAGTCTGCACCAGAGTTAAACTGGGATTATGACTCTTTTTGTGGTTTTCCATTAAGGCTTGAAGGACTTGGGGTTTCATTTTCTCCTGCATGGTGTCTTCTGAGAGCTGAAGGCTGGTTGTATCTGGCTTTGCTGGAGCCCTCGGACCTTTCACCACTGCACAGATGCCACACAAGGGCCATAAACCTACTGTCTTGTGCTGTTTCCCTTTAACACCACTGCCGGGACACGGCTGCTGATGGTGACGGTCAGCTGCAGGCGATCTTTGGACGGATCCCTTCGCTTCCCTACCATGGTGTGAACTGTTCCTTAGGGTCAAAATCCACTAACTCACTGTGTCCTGCACATTAGAAAGAGGCAGGAGCCTGGTGCTTTCACCTTTAGTACCTACCCTCCCCCGTTTGCTGCTCTCTCAGGACCACGCATGAGCATGAGCTGAATTGAGCAGAGCAGCGGGAGCTGGGATGCCTGGGTGCCGCTGGCTCGGGCTGTGCCTGTTTTCTGATCTGTAAGATGAGGAGTAATAACCCATCCCACAGGGCATTAATCTCAGGTTTGGAAGGCAATTGGGAGCCAGAGCCACAGCGAGGCCTGAGCATTATTAGTGATTCACAGCCCCTGCAGCCATTTGCACGTAGAAATCAGCACAGTGATAAGCAGTGAAACCTGGGTCTGAAGGCAGCTCCCATGTCCCCACCCAGCTCAGGGAGTCACACACACCCCGGGAGTTTACTTAAATAATTTGTATTTATTGATCATGCTCTTTTTTGACATGACACCGGAGAACAACGACCGTGCGTCAGCTGTTTCATCGAACAACGTGGCGACACCACAGGGTGAGTGGGAGGGTAAGAGACAGCTTTAAGGTACACAGAAATCAAAACTTTCTCCGTCTAGGCAGCACAGAGAACCGGGACAGGCTCTGGTGAAGCAGGGTGAGTATGGCGGATAATCCCCTACTGATAAACCCGGCCACTGGGCAGATGGTCCCCGCTCCCACTCCTTAGCCAGGATCTGCAGAGTCCCTCGGCTCTGATCCGCACTGCTCTGTGCACCAGCACTGGCCAGAGCCTGCAGTGCAGCGACGGCTCCTCAGAGCTTCCAGCACCAGGACCACAGGTAAGGGGCACAGGGGCGGGACTAACATGGATGGAAAGCTCCTATCCCCCATAGACCAGCCCCACCATGAGTGCTCTGGGACAGGGCCTGGGCCCCCCAAGACATTCGCTCTGCCCAGGGTGCCATCAGCTAGGCCAGTGGCTAGGGTATGGCTGCTGGAATTGGCTGACAGCCCCTCATGGGTCAAAATGGGAGCAGCCTGCTGTGACCGGCGCTCTGGGGGAACACGTCCAGCTGACCCAAGAGCCCTGGAGGGAGCTGGGTGAGAACTGTCCCCTGGGCTGGGTGGGCATGTGGGGAGGAGCAAGGGGACGGGAATGGACGGAGGAGGGGAGCACCTCATCCATATGGGCCCAGGCAGTGATTATGACCAGAGTTAAGAGGGGAGGGAGCTGAGCTTTGTCCCAGCATGGTGGGCTGCTCCCAGGAGCCACTGGGAGCAGGGAACCTCCCACCCATGCGTGACGCCCTGATCTTTCATCATGGCAGTGAGATGGGCGTGGTGCCAGGGCTCCCTAGCCGTATTGGCTACATGGGACCCGAATGCAGAGGGGAGACACAAGGGCACAGAGTCCAGGGGCCTGTTCCTAGGGCATGGTGGGCAGCGCTGACTGACTCTGCTCCCGACAGCTTTGGCCCCTGCCGCGTACAGCCAGCCCCTCCCCAGTGAAGGGTCACTTCCCACCCATAAAAACTTCACTTCAAGGGGACCTGTGGGGCTGAGCTCCTCACCGACCCCAGCAGAGCAGGCAGGGCCTCCCTTCCCCACAGCCATCACGGGGTTGGGGGCACATGGTCTGGATCTGTTCCATGGGGGCCAGCGATGGTTCCTCCCACAACCCCGGGACACTGGCAACATCCCTCTCGGTAGTCCAGGAGGCTAGAACAGAGGTGGCAGGGGAGGAGCCCGTCAGATCTAGGACCCCTCTGGGTAATGCCATGCCACAGAGCGCTCTGCAAGCCCACAGCCGGGCCCTGATGCACGGGAGCAGAGCAGGCGGGGAGTGGGTGGCGCCGTGGTGGCTAAGCAGGCGATGGGGACGGCCATGAAGCAGCGCGTCGGGGAGGATGGTTCTGCAGCCTGACGCACAGACAAAATTGGGCACCAGGCACAGGCAACTGGTGCCTCGCTCCCTACTGCCGCCGGGGAGCTCCCGGGGTCTCCCAAGGGAACTGCCCCCGAGAGACTAGGCTGGCTGTGACTGCCCTGACTGGGCGGTTCCCAGGAGCTAGACGGTTAATAAAGATGCCCAGGGCCCTCCCTTGCAGCTGACAGAGAAATGCTCAGACTGACACCAGATGCGTACGGAGTTAAAAATACCTCTGGCCCTGCCCCCTGGCCTTCCCCCCCACGCCAACCCAGGGCAGGACCCGCAGGCCGGGCACAGGCCCAAGCCACTCACCTGGGGCTGAGGCTTCAGGCATCACAGTTTGAGGAATTTGGAGGGTGGATCCTCCTTTATTTAAAAAGACTGTGGCCCAGGCAGCCCTATAGAGCACAGCCGCGTGGGGTAGGGGGCACGGCTGCAGCAGGCTGGAGTACTGGGCAAGGGCAAAGCCTAGCTCTCAACCACCTGCCCTCATGGCTACAGTTCCAGCCACAGAGACATCCAGCCACAGAACTCACTGGACTGACAATCTCAAGGCCACACCTTTCCTGGCATAACACAAGCCACGCTGAGAGTGGCACCTGCCCAGAGCACCATGCTCCAGCCACCCCCCACACGCGCACCCTACCAAGAGAGAGGGGCGCCAGCCCTCAACGCGTACCAGAGCACGTGTGCGTTCATGCCAGCACACTAGTGCCTCCAAGCCTCTCACCGAGCTTGTGCAGTTGCACGCCAACCCCCTTGTGTCTCCTCTCCCCATGGTGCCAGGATCCACGCTCCTGGCCTGCCACCCAGCTCCCTCTGCACTAGTGCCCCCAAACGGCCCCACAGACCCTCACGCTAGAGTCCAGCAGGAGTTAAAAAAAAAGGCAGAACAAACAAACCCAAAAGAAAACTAACAACCCAAAGCAACCAACTAAAACAGCCCCAGCCCGTTCCCAAGGGCAGCCACTAAGGAAAGAGAACGAGCCCCTTCTTCAGGGAAACACCAAGCAAAGGGGAATGCAGCGAACCCAACGCCAGGGAACGGACAGGATCCCCAGGGCCAGGAGCGCAGATGCTACGAAAGGCAGCAGGGGATTCTCATGTGCCAGGCCAGCCCCCCGGGGGGAGAGCACCTGGGGGGGAATGCCCAGACCAGTGTCCTTCACTGTGTGCCCAGGCTGGAGCTCATGATCAGGGAGTCTTCTTCCTGGATGGTCTCCAGCTCTGCCGTCTGCACGGCCTGTGTGATGAGTGTCAGCTCCTGGCACAGCGTTTCAAAGCGGTAGCTCACCCGGATGTCCGGCACGTTGGTGCGTCTGATGTCGTTCCCCTCAGACCCTTCCTTCAGGTAATTGGGTCCCAGCCAGTAGCTCTTCACCTGGGAAAGAGGGCGGAGACAGATGGTCAGGAGGTCTCAGGATGGAACTTTCAGCATGCTGGATCACATGCTGGCTGCTGAAATGCAGTCACCTCTGGGGTGGGGAGCAGCAGTCGTATAACAGAGCATAGCAATGCTATGCAACAGTCACGGCTGGGGAGTGAACAAGACTCCCAAAAGACGGGGGGATTCATGGAGCAGGCATGGAATAGCCAGAGCTGGAATCTGGCCAACAGCTCTGTAACAGTCACTAAAGGTCCCAGCCTCTGGTTTGTGTCTCGCCTGAAAGCCAGTGCAGCTCCGGAAGCAGAGAGCCCCTGGCACCGCGCTGCGGCACTGACTCTGACAGAAGCAGCGTGTGCCGCTCGACAGGACCTCCCCTCCAGCACCACAGTTCCCTCTGCGGCAGTGCAGGAGACGGGGCGTGGGCGGGGTACAGAGCCAGCGCCCCTATCGCCAGGCGGGGGGGATGGAAGATAAGGGGTGTAGGGTACAGAGCACAGTGCCCCCTAACGCCAGGCTGGGGGCAGGAACCTGCCGAGGTTCCTCAGCATGGCCTGCACAGTATTGAGCGGCCCAGGCTTTGAATGCGTGCTGGGCTCTCGGAGCAGAAGGGGCCCTGCTGGGGGGCGAGGGACCCCAGCATTACCTTGTGGGAGAAGCCGCTCATGAGCACGCTGTTGCGAGCAAGTTCGCACATGTCGCAGGAGCTGAGCTTCCACACCTGCGTGGCGATGCTGTACTCCTCCATCAGGGGCTCCTGCAACGGCATGGCCGCATCAGACCGGCCCACACTGCCCCCCCCAGCAGCCAGCTCCCCGGAGCAGCCTCTCACCCCATACCCACCTGCAGCTGGGCAGAAGAGCGTGGGAGGGGGGGCTGCTGATCGCTGTGGCCAACAGCTGGCATGGGCGGCACCCCGGCATGCTTCCTCCACACTGCCCTGCCCTGTGAGCCCCTGCCCGGGGCCCCTCCAGGGCCGAGGGGCAGCAGCTCAGTCCCTGGCCTCTCTGCTGGGGCTGGTGGCCCACTTAGCACCAGCGGTGACTGGGCCCTGAAAGGGAAGCCGCAGTGCAGACGCTTCCCACGAGGGGGCAGCAGGAGGGCTCCTCGCAGGAGGGCTCCTCGTGCCCAAAGATGAGGTTGGTGAGCACAGCCGGTTGCAGGCGGGAAGAGTTCTGCACCCACCTCCACCCCACACGCCTCTCCTCGGGGGCCTCGGCACGTGCATCTCCTGTTTGCACGCACCGCGTGGCCTGCACAACCGAGCCCAGCGGCCAGGAGACTGGGGGGAGTCCTGACCCTGAATGGGCCCACAATGGAGGGGAAAGGGCAGCGATAGTCCCAGCTTCCCTGGCATTTCACCCACCGGGGACTGGCACTGGAGCCAGAGGAATCCCGGCCTGGGGGCAGGGCACAGTCCCCCAGCTGGCTGGAGCTGGACTTGCTGCCAAAGGCAGGGCAGACAGAAATCTGGGAACGAGTTGGGGGCCTGGGAGCAGCGTCTCCCCCATCACAGCACAGGGAGCTGCTTGCAGCCAGGCCCCCTCCAGCCTGACTGGGGCCTGAACCAAAACCCAGGTCAGCTCCCCACCTCTCCCCCAGACTCAGCGTGCAGCCCAGTCTCTGCTCTCACTGCAGCACCTGCAGGAGTCCCTTAGCCCTGCCGCAGAAAGGTGCGATTTCACCAGCTGGGCCGGCTTACATTAAAGCAACATCGCTGGGGACCTCTGGCTTCCCCTCCAGCAGCTGCAACAAAACCTACGCCCTGCTTTAAACACCCCGACCTCCCCCGGTGCCCGGCCCTGTCTGCACGCCCAGGCCGGAGCCGGCAGAGAGCTGTGGGGTCCAGTCAGCAGCGCCGCCACTGCTCTAGGACCCTCTGGCTCCTGACACAAAACAGGGGCCCCAGCCCATTCCCTGGCAGGAAGGGTCCCCTCGCCTCTTTCGCCCTAGGGATGAATCCTTGTGCCACTTCCAACCCCTCCCGAGTCTTGGTGTCACAGCCTACAGGCACACCAAGGCTGGTCTCATGCCCCCAGCTACCACCCTGGGCCAAGCTAGACACATGCAGCTCTTTCCATCTTTCCCCAAAGGTCAGTGTCTTCCACCCCCCAATCGTTGGCTGCTGCTCTCCTCCCAGCCCCTCCGCAGGCTGCTGGTGTCTCCCTGAGTGCTACACAGGGCCCCCAGATGGTGCTTTGCAGAGCTGCCTGGGGCGGCTGGGGTCTCGGCCCTGCGCGCCGCGACTTGCTCACCTTGGTGAAGTGGAACTGCAGGGGGTCATCAGTGGAGAGCGAGACCATCAGGCCGCGGGACAGATACTCGGGCAATGGGTTGCGGTGGTAGCTCAGGAAGAGACTGTTGTTGCTGAGCGGGGACATGGCGATGCCAATCTGGGCTAGGTAGTAGAGGTACTGCAGCACAGGCGCCTGGCCAGGACGAGCCGGGAGACAGCGTGGTTAACAGGATCCCTTCAGAACCCAACTTTTCCCCACCCCACCTCGGAGCCCCAGGATCAGACCCCCCATGGTGGCTAGGAAGCTCTCCCGCTGGCATGCTAGAATTCCAGGCTGTCCCTCTGTCCTGGCACTTGTAGGACCCTAACCAAGCTAAGTTCTCTTAATGTGCCTATCACCATGGTATCCAGGCTCCCCACCAGCCAAGGGCCTTCCCCAAGACCTGCCATGATGGAGATGCAGCCATCTGTACCGGTAACATCACAGCCCCCTGCCTGCTCCTATTCCCGTGCTCTGCTGGTGTGTCAGGGTTGCCGGTCGCTCAGTACCCGACAGAACCAACTGCCAAGTTCCCCCTGGGCGCAGCTCCTGGGTTCTTACCTTGCGGAGCAGCAGCCCATGCGAGATGTTCTCCGACAGCATGAAGGCTGACACCAGGTGGTGGATTGGGCCCGCCTCCCCGCAGTGAGGGCGCAGGACAAAGGTGTGGAAGCCCCTCTTCCTGCAGAGAGGTTGCCAAAGGCAGGTCAGTGACTGGCCACTGCCTGTGGTGGGCACGGACCCACAGCACGTGAGCCAGGGAGCCACGGGGGCAGGGGATGCCGGGAACCGCGCCACCTGAACGCAACCACCAGGAGCGGGCTCTCCTGGATAGGGAATCCCCAGACAGACCCTGCACTCTAAAAGGTGTCCGACACCCTGCTGTGTAATGCCCCAGCCACAAGGGGGCACTCCACAGCCAAAATGGTGTAACGGACAGCCCCCTGGCAGGACACGAACAGCTGGATTAGCAATGTCCTCCATGGGTCCCTGCAACCTGCCCAGAATTGCCAGGTGACCCCCCCAGTGCCGTGGGGATGGGCCAGGCAGGGCAAGAGGGCTCCCTCTATCTGCACAGATGACTCCTCCCCCACTCGGGGGGTCTCCTACCTGCGCAGGTGGTTCAGCACCGTCATGTTGGCGTACATGTAGTACAGGTAGTACGAGTAGGGCGGATTGTCTTCTTCAACCCAGGCCCCGGGCAGGGGGCTGTCCTGGTTGAAGATGTGATGCTCTGGCTTGGATTCGTCATCCACGCTGTCAAAGCCGTCCACCTGCCGTGGGGAGGGGAGCGTGAGAAGCCGGAGGAGAAGCGCACGGCTCAGGGCAGGAGGACCCAGGGCTCCTTCCCAAGGCACCCCTACTGGAGGCAGTACTGTCCCCTCCTGGGTGACTACAGACCCCACGCCCCAGCTGGCCGAAGAAGGACTGATGTGCCCAGGTCAGGGGCAGGGCACCACAGAAGCAGGAGCTTGATGGATTTCAGATCTGGCATGTTACCCTCCCCAAGAAGGCCCCTGTCACCCCACAGAAGCACTCAACTATGCCACACACATGGGCCTGTGCCGGCCATTCCCTGCTCGCCCTGCCATCCCCAGCTCAATCCAACCCAGTCCCCAAGCCCTGTGGGTGGCACGCACGTGCTCCAGGAAGAGGTGTAGCTCTGGGTGGCTGGCAGGATGGATGGTGGCTTCGAAGAGGGGCAGGAAAATATTCTCCAGCATCTCCTGAAAGTTGGCCAGCTGCTTCTTGGTGCGGTACACATCGCTGTGAGAGACAGAGAGGGCCCCCACCCGAGGGCAGGCTCAAACCGGGACTCCTCCCCACCATGGCCAGCTCGGCAGCTCGCTTCTTGGGACCAGATCCTGCTCCCGAATTGAATGGGGCTAGTCCTGATTTACACAGGGCAGGGCATCAGGCCACTAGCCCTGGGCCAATGGTCGTAGGATTCTTCTAGACCCTGGAGCCTGATTCCTCCTCTCTCTGCCCCACACTCAGTTGTCAGTTCCCACCCTTCCAGGCTCCCTCATCCTGCTGCCTCCCCCAGTCCCATCCATTCCTCTGCTTGGTTCACCCAGCTCCTGGGCCCTGGAACCAGGCTTCCCAATGAGCCTGACGCCTGCCTGGAGATGCAGGATGGCTCCCCCTCCAGCTGGATCCCTTCCCACTTGGGTCAGGACACTGCCCCACTAGGGAGCTCCTGGACTGTCCAGGTTTAGCCAAGCCCAGGCCCCAGAGCAGGGCTACTGGAATACAAAGAATCATCGTTGTCATCCTTGGTTGGAAGGGTCGGTCCCTGGCACGAAGCCCACATGACCAGCTCTGTCTGGAGGCCCCCCCCGCTGCTCCAGCCCTGCAGACAGAGACTACTCACAAGAGGCGTGGCACCTGCACCAGCCAGCGCACGTTGTTGGAATGCACCTTGTGGCTCACGGCCCACTTGGCCAGCTTGTCCCACTCGTCCCGTGACCGGCCGTATATGGAGAGCCGCAGCTCCGCATTCTGATACTTGCTCTCCTCCAGGTCGGACATCACCTCCTGCGGAGAGGGCAACACGCACGTTCGCCATGAGAAGTGCCCTCCCAGCCAGCGGGCTGGCTCGGGAAACGCACACCTTGGCTCGTGAGACATGAGGAGACACACGCACATGTGACACAGGGAGACACACATGCTTGTGCACGCCTCAGCTTGCAAAACAGCGATGCAAGTGTGCGCCTGGCCTTGCAACGCGGACGTCTGCATATTTTGCCTCCCAAATCAAAGGCATGCGTGGGCACGCTACAGTGATGTAAGACCCCCATGTGCCTCTCGTGAAACACGAGACTCTTACACACACACACACACACACACACACAAACAGGCCTCACTAGGGGAGACAGCCAGCCCCAAATTGGGCACATCCTATATGCCCTTCACCCTCCGCGTGCACACATTTTCACCCCCAGGAGGTTCTCTTCTCTGGATCCCCCACTCCCCGCTCCCTCAAACAGTCTCTGTTTAGCTCTGTTTCCACCCTGAGACCCCCATCTCTACACTGCTGTTCCCCGACACCCGGCTTTGCAAACTTGTCAACAAGACTGAGCAGCCCGGACACTAAATCCACTCACTGTTCACCAGCGGGATCAAGCAAGAGACAGAAGGAGGCACCGTTGCCAGGCTGCACTAGCCCTTGGTGACCCTGCCCCCCATGACAGAATTGGCCTTTGGCTTCCTTCCTAGGCTGCCTGCTCAGGGGGGCTTGGCAGGTGAAGGCAAGCGGGGCCGGTCTCCGCAGCAGGGTGGCAAAGATGCCAGGGCCCGGAGGATGCCCCTTCTGGGAGCACAGGCCCAGAGGAGGCTCTCACCTTGATGATGTGAGCGAAGTACTTTCCCGAGACCTGGTTGTCCGTCTTGATGAAGATCTCGCGCAGGATGGACTCCCCGATGGGGTTGTACTTGGTGTTGAACTTGTCAAAGCGGTGGAAGGTGTTACGGTCCTGCCGCCGGGGCAGAGGGACACGTCAGCGCACAGGCAGCCAGGAGAGGAGCACGTGCAGTCCCAGCCCAGTGACCCCACTGTCCCTCCCTGGCTCCCACCAGAGCAAGTCTGCAAAGACCCATCCTCTGAGTGCCCATCCCATGGCAGGGGCGAGCATCCCCTGCCTCCAGCACCTTCTCCCCCAGACCTGACATCTTTTCCTCCCAGGGGGCCCCAGCTGCCCAGGTCTCACAGAGAGGATCCATCATTCAGCTCAGCAAAGGCCACGGGGCTGAGCCTCAGCCGCAGGACGTCCCTGCAGGCCAGTGCTGGGACAGCGGGGGATCTGGCCTGAGCAGGCATGGGGTGCGGGAGCCTCAGATCAAGAGCCGGGTCCCTTGGGGAGCACAGTGGGGCAGGTTCTACCCAGAATGGGTTTGCTTTCCTGTGCTGCATCTTTTCCCGACATCCCAGGTGGGAGCCACAGTCCTGCCCAGAGCAAAGGAGGCCATCCCCAGAGGGCAGCAGAGCTGGAGCACCTCCCTAGGGCAGCGTACCGCATGGACGTCCAGTGTATCCACGCTGAGGTCATAGGCCGTGAGGTTCATGGTCTCGAAGACCTCCTTCAGGGTCTGCTCCTTGCCCTTCTCCACGTGCACGATCTCGTCCAGGTGCTTCTTCATGGTGCGCTTGATGAAGCGCAGCAGGTGCTTCTGGTTCATGCAGGATGAGGCGTGGATGTGCGTGTCCACCTGCGCGGGGGGAGGGACACACGTGACCAAGGCCCAGGGCCCAAGACCCCAGCCCTCCCACAAGCATGGGCTGGGAGCAGGAGCCCTTGACCACTAGGTTGGAACCCAAGTCGAGGTCAGCAGGACCTGAAAGCCGTCACTGCCTGATGGGTCTCAGTCTCAGTGGGGAGGTGCTCATGGCCTCAGCACAGCAGAGAGGACAGGAACCGACTGGGCCACAGGGGCTGATGCAGGTGGTCCCTGCAAGCTGGGAGGAGCTGGCAGTGCTGCTGCCCAAGCCGGGGGACAGAGGACCTCCCTCCCTAGGGCAATCAGACCAGCGAGGAATTTGCTTGGCTGCATGGGATGATGCCTCAGGGAACACAGGGCTGGGGTAGGCTCCGGCCCTGATAGTACCTTGCGGATGTTGTAGAAGTCCCGGTGGGGGACCTTCTTCTGAGCCGCCAGCTCCTTCATCTCGTTGAGTAGGACGTGCATCTGGAACTTGGAGCTCAGGTACTGCAGCCGCCGGTAGCAGAAGGATTTTCTGGACAAGGGAACAGGTGATGGATCTGGGGTCTCTGTTCACAAGCCCCTGGGCCTAAACCCCCTTCACTGCAGGGCAGTGGTTGCCTAGTGAGTAGAGCAGTGGACTAGGACCCAGGAGCCCTGGGTTTGATCCCTGGCTCTGCCACTCTGTGGCCTTGGTGTTATTAACTGCAACTCTCGGGCTGTAGTCTGAAGAGGGGGCATCTTGTACTGCCTGCAGCCTGAGGCTAGACCAGTCCCATTCACACACGAGGTGGCCCTCGGTTCAGCTCTGTAGCTGTAACGGTGCAGCAGCCAGCCCAACAGAGGGGCCAGGCAGCTTCATGGGTGGGAGCAGCTGCCTAAGCTGTGCAGCCCCAGGGAAGCGGGCAGGAAGGGAAGCTGCTCTGCTTACATGGGGCCATTGATGATCAGAGCCATCAAGACATTCATGTCGGCGATGAACTCCTGCAGGTCAGGGTACGGCAGGTCCAGCTCTGTGCTCCTGTGGGAGGAGACAGCACAGGGTCGGTCACACCGACATGGCACGCACAGTCATGGGGGCAGGGAAAGGGAGCAGCTCAGGACAGGGCACCCAGCTGGCATGTGGGAGACCCAAAGTCAAGTCCCTGCTCCAGAAACTATTTACAAGGTGGCCAAGCTCCAGAGGAGAGACAGAGAAAGCCCCACCCAGAGTACCCCATAGCTCCATGGCTAGGGCACTGCCCTGCAATTCAGATCTCTTTCACAAGGGCAGGGGAGTTAATCCAGTGCCCCAGGCCCCATTCACAGGCGGTTTCCAACCATCTCCCCAAACCCTCAAGCCATTTCAAGTGGTAGTGTTATTTGTCACCTTCCCTCCCAGCCCCCATTGGGTAGTGTTGCTGGAGGCTGTTAAGCAGCAGCTACACCCACCCCAGAGGTGGCTGCCCTTAGATGCTAAGTGAAGTGACAGTTCATAGTGCTCCCTGGGATCTTTCGATGCAATGTAATAAAAAACCTCCTCTGAATAATATTATTCCTCCCACGAGAGACAGTGCCGCTCGGTTGTTAGAGCCTGGGCTAAGACCAGGGGCTGGGCTCTGTCCCTGGCTCTCTGTGTGACCTGAGGAAAGCCGGCCAGCAAGGCTTGCAGAAGTGGGGCGAATGAGAGGAAGAAACCCCAAAGAGATGGCCAGGGAAGGCCACCCTGCTGGCCCCAGGCTAGCCCCAGGAAGGCAGAAGGCAAAGGGCACTTGGTATCCAGACACAAAAGGGGCACTGCACGTGCCACGCAATGCAGTGCCTCGGAGAGCCTGCTGGGAAGGGATGGGATTGGGCCCCATGGGCAGGACTCTCAGTCCACGTGCCCCAAAGAGGCTGCTTCTCCAGTACAGACCTGGCTCCTTTCAGACCCCGCAGCCCTTGCTCCTCGCCGTGCCAGGCACCCAGGTTACACCTGGGTTCATGCCCAGAAGCCCTCCCACCTGCGCTTCCCCCTCCCTCACCTGTCCACGACATCGCGCTTGGTGTAGACGTGGATCACGCCGCTGACCATCCTGAGGCCGAAGCCCAAGTCGGCCGGCATGGCCTCAGGGAGGCAGGTCTCGTAGGGGTGCTGGTCTGTGAATGGGGGGTGCACAGGAGCATCTGCAAACAGGAGGAGCAGCAGCGCAGGGAGCGTTCATACTGGGTTGGGGTCTGGACAGCACCTAGCGCTAGCCTGGGACTAGGTCCCTCGTGGAGCCCCAGGACAAGGCATCAGAGTCTTCGGCAAAGGCGGGGGGGCCTGAGAGCAGGACTCCCCAGTCCAGATATGTCACTCGCCTGCTCAATGCCGTCCCCTCCCCCCCGGGACTCCCTCCATCTCGCAATCCAGACTTTTGCCCCTTCCCCCACCAGGGACCCTCCTCCCTCAGGGCCCCCCATCCGACTCCCTTCACACAATGCCCCCTCCGACCACCCCCTTTGAATGAACGGGGGTAGGGAGAGCATGACCAGGATGCAAGTTGCAGCAGGTGGGGAAGGGGCGGGTCACCCAGTGAGCCGAAAGCTAGCTCGACACCCCGCTCCCCCACTCCTGGGCAGGATTGTTCCAAGGCAGTGGTCCCCAACCTTTTTAGTCTGGCGGGCGCCAGACGACCAAGCGGCAACATCAATAGGCGTCTCCGCCGAAATGCTGCCAAGCAGCGTCATCCAGAGGCGTTACCGCCGAAATGCCGCTGAAAATCGGCAGCATTTCGGCAGCGACGCCTCTGGATGACGCTGCTTCTCGGCAGCATTTTGGCTGATGCTCGTCCGCTGCCAGTACACGGGCGCACTTAGATGCCCCAGTGGGTGCCATGGCGCCTGCGGGCACCGCGTTGGGGACCCCTGTTCCAAGGGATGAGGCTTCTTCCCCTCTCCCCCACCCCTGCAGGAGTCCATTCTGCAGCCTCATGGGAACTGATCTACGGAGCCCTGCTCAGCTCCCCACCGGCGCACCGTCTCCTAGCCATCCATCGCGCTCCCACCCTGAGGCACCTCGGGGTTTACCCCGCCACTCATTGCTCCTCTGCCCACCGCAGCCCTGGCCTCACCTGCAGCCACGGGGGTCTCTGGGATCTCCTCATAGAACCGGGTCTCCAGCGGTTTCCCAGAGAGCTCCTCCAAGAAGCGGGCGGTGGTCTTGCAGAAGCTCTGCAGGGAGAGCCCCATGTACTTCTCCCGGATGAACAGTGCCTTCACCACGCTCTTGGCTGCATCTAGCAGGTCTGTGAAAGGCACCTGGAGGGCAAAGAGGAGACACGGGCTCTAGCCAGGGTCAGGCCCACGGCTTGGAACCAGCCTGGGCAGGTTTCCATGGATGAACATGATCCATGCCCCAAACTGAGGTCTGGGAGGATCCATCCTATGGGGCATGCGGAAAGATGTGAATGCCAGTGCTTTAAGGGGCTAGAATAGGGCCTGAGTTTTCCCCATGGGGAGGAGGGAAAATCTTGCTCATATGTAAAGGGTTAAAAAATGATCAGCAGGTTTGGGATCTGGAAGCAGGTTTTCTTCAGTAATATCCTGCAGCAGCAAGTTCTGCAGGTTAACATACCTGGTGGATTTAAAATAATAATATTTTAAAAAGGATGAAACTCTTACTATGTTAAAATGTTATCTTTTAATTTCACTGATCTCTCTCTCTCTCTCTCACACACACACACATACACACACACACACACGCGTCCTTGTCAAGGATTTTCGGAGCTACCAGACCCAACTGGTCACCTCTTCATTTCCTATCTTAGGGTTTTCCTCGGCCACCCTAGACAGAAGCCATCAGCCTCTCTACTGCAGGAGTCGTGCTGGGATGCGGTGCCTCCCCCTGCCTGGGTCCCTTCCTTGGATGCTGGTGCTGAGCCAGCCTGGGAGGATGTACAGGGGCTGTGGCCTGAAAATGAACTCTCTTCTTCGGGCCTCAACCAAGGAGATGAGAGGGGGCTAAGGATCCCGCGGAGGGGAGACTTGGGGGCAGAGAGGAAAGAGGGCGTGTTTCCACATCCTCAGCTCCAATCACCATCTACTCTTCTGCTGTAGCAGGGGAGCCTGCTGGAGGCATAAGACCAAAGCCTGCCTGGCCCAGGAGACATCAGTCCCAGCCCTAGGCCAGCAGCAAGTGGGAGAGAGACGTGCAGGGGGAGCTCTCTTCCCCTCCCCCAAGACGCCGCTCCACTCCTTGTATTATTGCAGCCTGCTGGGCACAAATGCCCACTCCATCTCTGCTGCACGTGAGGATTTGTGTACAGCCACATCCTCCCAAGTGTGTAACACACCCACACAGAGGGAAACGCTGCCGCCGCATCTATCGCTGGCTGGGGAGTCATCTGGACGGGCACCAGGAATCTTGTGAACGAGCAGGAAGGCGCGTGGCTGAGGCTGCAACGGCGATGCTGCCTTGGCAGTTTAACGTTCCCATCATGGATGTGTGTGCAAGTGAGTGATCTCCACACAGAGAGCGTGCATGTTATAGACACGCTGCGGGGAGCCAGGCGATTTCCCACACAGAGAGCGTACACGTTATAGACACGTTGCGGGGAGCCGGGCGATCTCCCATGCAGAAAGCGTACACGTTATAGACACGCTGCGGGGAGCCAGGCGATCTCCCACGCAGAAAGCGTACACATTACAGACGCGCTGCTTGGCGTGCGTGCGATCTCCCATGCTGAGAGTGTACATGTTATAGACACGCTGCCGGGTGCCGTGTGATCTCCCACACAAACAGCGTCTATGTTATAAACACGCTGCCGGACAGGCGTGCGAGCTCCCACGTGGAGAGTGTACACATTACAGTCATGCTGCCGGGGTGCGGCCGATCTCCCACGCTGAGAGCGTACATGTTATAGACGTGCTGCCAGACAGGCGTGCGATCTCCCTTGCAGAGACTGTGTACGTTATAGACGTGCCGCCAGGAGATGTTCTGGCCCCTGGGGCTTTGCAGACTCTCCCTGGATGCTCTAACTTCCTATCTGCTGTCCTTTTCAGCTCGCTGTCCATGTTTTCTGCCTGGCACGTTCAGAGGCAGATCGAGCCCACAGCCAACAAGCCAAAGGTGATGGGAGATAAGGAATTAGAGGATCAGGAAGAGAAACAGGAATCACGCAGTCCTGCAGGATGCTGAGTAGCGGAGGGATTGTACTGGCTACACAAATCACAATACATTGCTCTTTTCTACCCACGGTGCCTGTGCTTTACCAGCATTAGTACATTGAGCCTCGCAGGGGAGGAGGGGGAAAGGGCTAGAGAAAGGCCAAGGCAATAGGCCCACTAGCCGTTTCACTTCCTGGAGCGTACCATTGCAAAGTCTCTTAGGGTCCATCTACACAGTAAGCAGCGAGTCTCAGAGCTCAGGTCCACGGGCTTAGGTCCACGGGGTTCACACTCCAGTGCTAAAACTGTTAGGATATAGATATTCAGGCCTGTCTGTAAAGGCCTATACTTTAAGAATTTAGGTGTATTCTTATCACTTAGCTAGTTATAGAGGTATAAAAGAATCAAAATCACTGTCTGTGAAAGGGCCTTCTCGTACTGTGACAGTCTGAGGCTCTGTTCTTAGGCTAAGGCCTTTGGCGAAGCAGCAGAGGCAGCCATAAGCTGAGAAGTGAACGGTCACATCCTCACATTCCAAACTAGTCACATGGAAATAAGGTGCTATTGGGCTGTTAGAAACACAATTCTGCCCTGATATTCCTATCACCTCCAGAGAAAGGAAGATGTAAAAGCAAACTTAGGTTGATAGTTTTCTGTCTGGTAAGAACTCACTTATCAATAGCTGGGATGTAAAATTCTCACTTCTGTATTGTTTTGTATGTTTATTTGCATGGTCTCTGTCTGGTTCTGTAATTGTTTCTGTCTGCTGTATAATTAATTTTGTTAGGTGTAAACCAATTAAGGTGGTGGGATATAATTGATTAAATAACCATGTTACAGTATGTTAGGATTGGTTAGTTTAATTTCAGTAAAATGATTGGTTAAGGTATAGCTAAGCAGAACTCAAGTTTTACTATATAGTCTGCATTCAATCAGGAAGTAAGGGGGGAATGGGAACAGGAAATGGGGGTGGGGAAATTGGAATCATGTTTTGCTAAGGGGAGGAATGGGAACAGGGATGGCTCTGTGGTGTCAGAGCTGGGAAGGGGGACACTGAGGAAGGAAACTGGAATCATGCTTGCTGGAAGTTCACCCCAATAAACATTGAATTGTTTGCGCCTTTGGACTTCGGGTATTGTTGCTCTCTGTTCATGCGAGAAGGACCAGGGAAGTGAGAGGGTGAAGGAATAAGCCCCCTAACAAAAACTAGCTGCGTAGACATTTGGGCGGGCGCTCAGGCTCTGAAACCCACCCCCCTCCCTAGGTTTCAGAGCCCAAATCTCTACCCAGATGCTTTAGGGCAATAGCGTGGGCCCGGCGAACCCTGCCGACCGGGACTCTGATGCACTGGCACGGGCTGCTGCTCGCCATGTAAACACACCCTAAGACCACAGGGCTGCATGGCCTGGCGAGCTCCTGTTACTAGTGTGTGCACACGTGCACGCGCTTGCACGCATAGGATCTGATCCAAAGACCACAGAAATTAAAGGCTCCTGGGTCCAGATCCTCAAAGGTATTTAGGCATCTGATTCCCATTGGGGAGTTACCTAAATTCCTCTGAGGATCCGGGCCCTGCTGACTCCAGCGGGTGTTAGAACAGGCTCACAGTGGGCTGGGTTTCTAGAGACATTGTCCAGATGAAAATCATGGACCAGATCCTGAGCTGGTGGTCAGTCAGTGGAGCGACACCAATTTCCACCAGCGGAGAAGCCAACCCCTCATAGTTTAAAACTTCCTCTTGCTCCTAACAATGCTTTATAGAGGATTCGAGTGTCACCTGCTTATTTACATTTGCTATCAGTTTTCTCTTTGCATTTCCCTCCCTAGATCAATCAGCTTTGCTCTCTGATCCTCATGGGCTGTAGTCAGGTTTCCTGTCCTGCCTGCTACGGGTTAAATTATGCACAAATAACCTCTCACCTTTTAAATACAGGAACACATCCAATCTAGAGCAGGTTTGGTAAAGCCCGTTACAGTGGGGGCCAGGTCCCTTTCCGCAATACTAACAGGCTAATAAAGGAGCAATGAATTCTCTCAGCCATGTGATGAAAGCAGCTGGCACTGTACAGGTCAGAACTCCTTAGCCAAATCACACTGCTGCACAGCGATATGCCGCGGAAGGGAAGATGCTCGGACAATGAATAGCCATTGCTATTTCAGTAAGGAGAACTGTGCTAGGAACTACTTTTAGATGTCACCTTGATCCAGTGGGAAAGGGGACAGGGAGAGAGAAGAATGGGCCACATCCTCAACTGATGTAAACTGGCATCACTCTGTTGATTCCAATGGGGCTGTGCCAATTTACATCAGCTGGGGATGTGGCCCAGGGATTGGTGGCCCCAAATGGGGTTCAAGAGGTTCCCACGAGGATCTCACTGGATCCTGCTGGTTCTGGAGAGGGGAGGGTCAGCCCCTGGCTCGAATACTCAGGGGCAGATGTACTGCCCATCACCCAAGACGAGGGGATTTGGGGATAGATGCTGTGGCCCAGCCCTCGAGACCGGGTACAGCGAGGTGCTCAGTGACATGGGCAGAGGTGTCTCAGGGCACGTCCATACCACAAGGGAAGGTGTCACTGTGGCACGGGCCGGCATACCTGCACTACCTGCACCAGCTGGATTAGCGCTAACAGCGCAGCAAGGGCATGGTGGTGCGGGCTATCCACCAGTAAAAGCCCACCACAGAAAAGCGTACCTCAGAGAGGAGAGGGGGACTTGCGGGCTCAGGGAGACCAGAGAATGCAACACAGCACACAGGGGGTGTCAGTTCCAATCCCACCCCAGGTCCCTGTAGCCAGCCAATCCCTATCACAAGGAGCCTTTCCACTCTAGGGTGCACTGGCTCTGATCCAGCCCCAAGTCATAGAATCATATCATCTCAGGGCTGGAAGGGATCTCAGGGGGTCATCTAGTCCAACCCCCTGCTCAAAACAGGACCAATCCCCAACTAAATCATCCCAGCCAGGGCTTTGTCAAGCCTAACCTTAAAAACCTCTAAGGAAGGAGATTCCACCATCTCCCTAGGTAACCCATTCCAGTGCTTCATCACCCTCCTAGTGAAAAAGTTTTTCCTAATATCCAACCTAGACCTCCCCCACTGCAACTTGAGACTATTACTCCTTGTTCTGTCATCTGGTACCACTGAGAACAGTCTAGATCCATCCTCTTTGGAACCCTCTTTCAGGTAGTTGAAAGCAGCTATCAAATCCAGCCTCATTCTTCTCTTCTGCAGACTAAATAATCCCAGTTCCCTCAGCCTCTCCTCATAAGTCATGTGCTCCAGACCCCTAATCATTTTTGTTGCCCTCCATTGGACTTTCCAATTTTTCCACATCCTTCTTATAGTGTGGGGCCCAAAACTGGATGCAATACTCCAGATGAGGCCTCACCAATGCCGAATAGAGGGGAACGATCACGTCCCTCGATCTGCTGGCAATGCCCCTACTTATACAGCCCAAAATGCCGTTAGTCTTCTTGGCAACAAGGGCACACTGTTGACTCATATCCAGCTTCTCGTCCACTGTAACCCCTAGGTCCTTTTCTGCAGAACTGCTGTCTAGCCACTCGGTCCCTAGTCTGTAGCAGTGCATGGGATTCTTCCGTCCTAAGTGCAGGACTCTGCACTTGTCCTTGTTGAACCTCATCAGATTTCTTTTGGCCCAATCCTCTAATTTGTCTAGGTCCCTCTGTATCCCTACCCTCCAGCCTATCTACCATTCCTCCCAGTTTAGTGTCAAGTCAGAGGGGAGTGACTGGCTCCTGGGGTCTTTGAGAGAGAGGGAGGGTAACCCAAGTAACCCTTAGTTCCCACTCCACGCAGGCAGCCCCTTGTGCCAGGCAAACTCACCCCACATGTCTCTTCCCCAGAGATGGTGACCCTCTGGAACTCTCTCTCCAGCAGCACATCCCTCTCCTTGGGGAGATGATCCACCAGGTCCTCGTTCTGCTCCTTATATAGCCTGGGGGAGGGACGGGGGAAGAGATGGGTCAGGGGTCAACGGCAGGTGTCTGGCCCTGGCCATGCCCCAGCTCCCCGTCACTTCCACAGCCCGTAGCGCTATCCGGAGACAGACACACAGCACAGGGAGACGTGCAAACACAGACTCGGCCCACACTGTGTGGGGACAGCTGGGCAGGGGGAGCTCCCCTGGGATCTCAGCAGCCACACAGCAGCAATGATGTGCCCACTGTGACCCAGTAACCAGATTCACAGCTCAGCCGCTCTGTGCACCAGGGGGCTGGTGCTCAGCTGAAGAGAGAAGTCAATCCCCAGCTGAGTGCCACCTCCTGGGCAGCAGTCTGTAGCGAAGATGGCACTCAAGAAGGTCCCATTCACCGGGCATCAGGGCTCAGCTTGGCTGTTGGAGGTTGGGTTACTGGGAACCTGGCACTGGACTGAGAGCCCTGCCCGGGCAGCTCAGCCCAGGAACGCACGAGCAACGAAGGGGACATAAACTGCAACAGAGACAAGAGGCAGTGCCAGCACCGTCCGTGGCATCTGAAAGCAAAGGCAGGTGGGAAAGGGAGCTCAGAGCGAGGGAGAGTGCCCAGCAGGACGAGCGATCCAGCCAGCACCAGCTCTCCAGCCTGGCCTCCCTGAGGCAGGCACTTTCCCTAGAGGGCACAGGAGCAAAACCCACCCCACTGCACCAGCAGGCCTGGCTGCTGCTAGAGCTGTAGGATCACCAGCTTTCATCACAGGGATGCCAGCTCCGCCTGCCATCCCCACCCTAGAGAACAGGCCCTGCTTAGCCGCTCCCCAAAAGGGACACCCCACGCCTCCCCTTTCTCCTCCAACTCACACCCCTTCTCCTCTAGCTGCGTCCCTTCTTCCCCACCCCTAGAGGAAGCGCCCTGCTTAGCGGCTCCCCAGAAGGATATGCATGGCCCCATCCCTTCCTCTTCCGTTCCCCCATCCACGCCTGGCTACCTGCAGAGCCTCCAGTACACACCATCACTCAGGAATGGGAGGGGGGTTCAGGAAAGCCCCCAGGTTGGCTCCTTTGGCACCAGCTACTGCAGGAAGGTCCTGAGCTCATTTGTGATGTCCCCCACAATCCTGGTGGATCCCCTACAGCAGGGGTAGGCAACCTATGGCACGTGTGCCAAAGGCGGCACGCGAGCTGATTTTCAGTGGCACTCACACTGCCCGGGTCCTGGCCACAGGTCCGGGGGACTCTGCATTTTAATGTAATTTTAAATGAAGCTTCTTAAACATTTTAAAAACCTTATTTACTTTACATATAACAATAGTTTAGTTATATATTATAGACTTATAAAAAGAGACCTTCTAAAAACGTTAAAATGTATTACTGGCACGCAAAACCTTAAATTCAAGTGAATAAATGAAGACTCGGCACACCACTTCTGAAAGGTTGCCGACCCCTGCCCTAGAGAATGCTGCTCCCCAGCCGGGCTGGGATCGGGTGGAGCCCCAGCCCCCAGGGCGCTCCCAGCTCACCCCAAGTTGCTGGCAGAGGGGGAAAAGCCAGACACTCACTGTAAGTCAGCAGCACTGTCAATTTTCAAGAAGTCCTGTTTGGCTCTGAGTAAAATGTCGGGTTCTAGTCTGAGGACAAACGGGAAGCAGAGGCAGAGGCAGGGGCAGGGGCAGACGGATGGACGGACGGAGACAGACAGGGAGGAGAGAGGAAGAAAGAAAACACGGGTGTTAATACAGAAACCAACACCAGGCACCACAGACCAAGTGAAACTCACCGGGATGGGAAAGGGGACCCCAGAGCGAAGAGACCCAAGAGAGTCTGGGGCGCCTGGGGGACCAGAGAAGGACCAGGGCTGGGGGACCCAGGAGAGCCAAAGCAACCCGAGAACCCAGCCCCTCCTCCCCCAAACTCCGCCCAGCTCTGTTCTTTGGGGTGCTGCTGATCCTGAGGCCCGAGCCAGGCAGGAGAGACAGAGCCTGCTTTGCCTGACGGACGGGGTGGGGACAGCGTGTTCAGCTAACCCCCTGCACAAACACCCGCTCCAGCCAGAGGCTCACCCTGCTGCTGGGTTGCCCATAAGCTGCCCTGCTGGACTCCATGGCAGCAGACCCAGCCTGTAGACCAAGCAGGTGGGTCTAAGAACAATCCTGAGGGCCCTGGGGGTGTATGAGTGCTCCTGGCTGGGGTGCAGTGAGTTTCTCAGGCCCCTGACCAGCCACAGCTCACAGTTGGCCCTGAAGGGACCCTCCCCCCTTGTCTAATCCCAGCTCCCTGGTGGAACTGGTTAGCCATTAATTCAATGATACTCCCTCTGCTCTGCCCCAAGCGGGGCATAATGGGGTCAGGACCTAGAGAAACTTGGGGAGATGGGGACAGAGCAGGGACATCGCCTTACTTCACGTCCTGGCTGATCTGCCGCTCCAGCCGCTGGCGCCTCTCCTCCAGCTGCTCAATGGGGCTGTCCTCGGGGAACTCGTAGGGGGCGCTACGCATGTCGCTCTCCACCAGCGAGCGGGAGAACAGCTCCTGGGGGCAAAGCAGCACAGGACAAGCCGTGAAGGGAGCTGCCAGCACAGCCTTCAAATCATCCCCGCCCGGCACGCCGTGGCCGATCGCTGGCATGCAGCAGCGTGACGAGTTCCTCCCATCCTCAGCTGGTGCAGGGAAGCCACCGGAAGCTCCCAGGGGTTGCCAGATTTCCCAGCAGCAGGGCAGACAGTCCGCAAAAGGTGGGGAAGGAATTAGATGAGCAAGCAGAGATTGCCTGGCTCAGAGCAATGGGAACTGGCCACAGGAGAGCAGCTTGAAGCCAAGGCAGGCCAGCACTGACTGGGAGCCTCAGTGCAGGAGCCGGGGAATGAATGTCTGTCTGTTGGCAGAAGAACCACAGTTAGTCCCTCTACCCCAAAAAGTGGCAGGGCCTGATCGGACAGCTCTCAGCATTCCCTCCTCCTCCCCCATGTGCGGCCTGCCCAGCCCAGCTGCCTCAGGCTCCAGGCTCCTGACAGGATAATTGATCCCTCTCAATCAGATGATGATAAATCTGCCCCCGGGAGTCAGGGTGTTGCTGATCAATGGCTTTTAGCGCCCTGGCCATGAGGTGTAGAGCCCCAGGGACGTGCCTCAGCGGATTCCTGGCCCAGTGTCAGGACCTGGCGGCGAGGGAGCGTGGTCAGTGATCGATGCCACGAGACCGCTTGCTTAGGGACATGTCTCCCCACTGAGAGCACCCTGAGGCTGACGCGCCATGCCCTGAGCAGAGAGAAATGCAGCTCCAGGCTGAGTCGGGCCTGCTCTGCAGGGATCTCCCTGGTGCCTCAGAAATGCTTTGGGGCGGGGAGATGCCGGGCTCCTTGGGACACACTCGGCCTCATCCAGAAAGGAGATGGGCAGATATTGGCTGGAGCACTAACAAGGCTCTTCCCTGAGCCTGGGCACACAGGCCAATCATTTCCGTTAAAGCGTAAGGTCTCCGAGGACACATCAAAGACCAGCGCAGTGTCCAAGCTGGAGCAATCCTCAGGCTGGCCAGCCAGGAGCCCACAGGCCTGGAGCTGCTGCCTTCCCCTGCTTCCTTACTGCTGTCTTCCCGGGGCAGCCACTAGCACCAGAGCCCTCAGTCACAGCAACATCCACAGAGGCCAGCGGCCCCGCAGTTTGCAAACATCCCGCAAAGAGCCCTAGGTCTAACTCTCCTTCTAAACAGCCAGATGACGTCTGCCTGCACTGGCTCCATTCAGGAGGGAGAGGGGTCCAGGCTGTGAGCACCGCCTCACGCTCCGCCACCGTTTCCCAGAAGCCATTGGGGTCAAGGCGACTGTTTGGCTGAGCCAGCATGGGGCTAGAGGGCTCTGACGTGCCCGAGGGGCTCGTACCAAACATTCCTGACAGGAGACGGGCAGAAATGTCCCAACAGCTCGTGGCTGCTGAGGAGTCACCCACCGTTCTGAAAACCTGATCCGTCAGGCTGAGCACTGGCAAACTCAATGCACCGAGACACTGGGAGACAGAGGCTGAGGGAAAGTGGGCTCCTGCTCATTCCACTGATTTGGGGACCCCTCCCTGGCTTTGCTTTAAGGGGACTACAAATGGGAGACAGTGGGATGGAAGGGAAAAGAAAGAGAACACAAAAAGATGATGGATGGAGGTGTATAGGGATGGATAGACAGAAAGGCCTGTAGAATGGGGTGGAATGGATGGCTGGACCTGGAGAATAGGGTGGGATAGATGGATGGATGGGTGGGTGGGAAGGCCTGGAGAATGGGGTGGGGTGGATGACAGAGGGATAGATGAATGGATGAGTGTGCATGGGATGGGAGAGATGCATGGGATGGGATGGGTGGATGGATAAACAGATGGGGAGTTTGCATGAGATGGAACAGGATGGACAGACAGCTACCTCAGCGATTTCCTTGTACTTGCCATCCATGGAGGTGCGCAGGTCAACAGGGAAGTGCTTCAGGCAATGCAGAGTCCCTGGCAGAGAGTGGGCAGACTGCAGTGATCGAGGCCCCAGCCCACCATGGATCTCTGTGGAAACACAGTTCAGACCAGTCAGCCAGGGAAGGGAGACTGTGGGCTGCACGGCTCAGCGAGCAGCAGACGCCAGCCACCCAAAGGGGCAGACTTTAGCCAGAGTTTAAAAAAAAAGGCGGGGGGGGGAAGTGGAGGAAAAATACATTTAACAATAGGGGGGAAAAGAACCAACACCGGAGTTAGCACAGTGGGGATCAGCGAGGAGGGTGTCTGTGTTTGTACAGCACCTGGCACAGTAGGATCCCGGTCACAGCTTCTAAGCGCTACTGTAATAATAGATAACCGATAGTGCTACAACACTGCCCAGTTCCCTTTGATCCTTTGCCTGCTGTCACTGCAATCCAGTCTCTTATCGGTGTAATGTGGGCTTCCATTCCCATCACCATGGCATCTGGGCACCTTCCACATCAAATCATTAGCACCAGCGAAGCCCCTAGCAGATGTCATGGAGTCTCTGGCATGCCTCCCTATTTTGGGGTAACAGCTCGGCTGGGGTAAGGATGGGATTTTATTTCTTTGTTTCAGGGTTTGGTTTGGTTTGGTTTGGTTTGGTTTCTTTGCTGGGGTGGATGGGGGGAGGGGAGGAGGCATTTAGGTCAATGGGGGGTCAATAACAATGGTACTACCCTTCATTTTCAGGCCTCAATGCACTTCACAGCCACTCCGTGGGCGAGAAAGAGAGAGGGAAGTCTCATCCTCATTTTACAGCTGGGAAAACTGAGGCACGGAGTGACTTGCTCCAGATCACACAGCAAAGGAGAACCTAGGAGGCCTGATTCCTAGTCCCTCACTCTGACCTCCCATGTGAGGCAGCAATTCAGACATCTAAAGCATCCAGGCTGAGGTGTGTGAGTGAGCAACAAAGCACCCAGAAATATCTCAGCACATGCTGTCCCCTGCCCCGTTGTCAGAGGAGCTGGTGCTTTTCCTAAAGCCATTCCCTTCCCTCAGCAGTAAACAGCAGGACGGTTCCAGGGCACTGGATAGCTCAGAGGATTGGCAGTTCAGACACCATGGTAATAGAGGCTATATAAAAACCTAAGACAGAGGGGTAATAGGAGAAGGAGGCTCTCACTGCTGGGCTGTTGCTCCAAATCCAGTCCAGCCTGGCAGGAATGGGACAATGTTATCTTCTAATGGCTGGGTTAGTGGCCAGAATGAAATGGGTGGTGGGTCTTGGCCCAGCCCCTAGGGAGAATAGACGCCCACAGCACATTAACCAGCACTAACCGTCCCCATGCTGACAATGGTCATTTACAGGCTGCAATAGCAATCAGCACCAGGATCGCAGCATCTATTTAACCTCACAGCCTCCTCAAGCTAGTTCAGCGTCGCTCCTGTCTCACAAATGGAGAGCCTGAGGCAGAGGGCCACATTCTCCAGTGCTCCGCTCCCAGTTAGGGACGTCAATATGGGGGAGTGTACTGAGTTCCCGTGAGGGATGGGCCCTTTGGAAACCACTGGCTAGAGCGGAGAGGTGACTGGCCCAAGGTCACACAGGGACTCTGTGGCAGAGGCAGGAATAGGGCCCAGGGCCAGACCACTGCCAAACCCACCAGACCATCTAACGTCTCCCAGAGAGGCCAGGAACTGAGCGGCGCACTGAGAGCGAACTCCCCTCTCTTCCCTACAGCTGGTCCCACCAGGTCACAGTTTAGATCTTGTGGAGGAGGAAGCTTGTCTTGTGAGGTCTATTTTGGGCCTACGCCAGACCTTCAGCCCCCAGGGCTGTTGAGCCGGCACTGAGCTCACTGAAAGGGTCTCTGGAGAGAATGCGAGTGTAACAAGAACAACGTGGTCTCTGTTCTGCTACCCAGGAGAGGCCCAGGGAGAGAACTCTCTCCTGTCTCAGCCTGTCCGAATGAATATAAACCCAGTGGTCAGCTCACACCAGGGGAAAGCAGGCACAGGACCACAGAGAAACCTGAGGGTCTGTTTTAATGGGTGAACTGGCTAAAACTCCCTGGCCTTGGGATTTCCTGGGAATAGAAGTCACCTCCCCTGAGATAGCACAGCCACCTCTAGCTCCCACTCCACAGGCAGAGAGGGCAGTGCAGAGGAAAGCTATAAACAATTCCAGACAGGAAGGTTTTCTCACCCATCCCCCTACTCCTAATCTACAGCGCTGTGTTAATTAGCCAGGTGTACTGTTGCTAGGCAGTGGGATGCTGAGCTCCATCGGCTAATGGGCTGATCTCATGGATCAAACCCTAAATTCCTTGAACATGAAGGTGCCAAACATCAGGCATGCAGCACAGGGAGAAGGAACGGATAATACTAGTGCAGCAGCGGCCAGGTGCTGGCTTCCTCACGTGACTGCTGCCACTTGGGGTTCATCATCACTACCCGACCTATCGGCGGGTAGCAATCGATTTATCTGGGATTGATATATCGCATCTCGTTAAGACGCGATATATCGATCCCCGAACGCGCTCACCGTCAACTCCGGAACTCCACCAGAGCGAGCGGCGGTAGCGCAGTCAATGGGGGAGCCGCGGCCATCGATCCCGTGCCGTCTGGACCCCAGGTAATTCGATCCAAGATACTTCGACTTCAGCTACGCTATTCGTGTAGCTGAAGTTGCGTATCTTGGATCGATCCCCCTGCCAGTGGTGTAGACCAGCCCTTGGAATCACATGCCCACTTGCAAAAGGCAGAAGGACTGTCACACAACAGAGTAAGAAAAACAGCACAGTATCCCCAAGGAAAGGAATGGGAACCCCATCACCTGAGACTGGCCAGAGCCCTACCGGAGAGGCTGTCCCAGGTTCCCCATTGGAGCCTCCTCTTTCTTTCCAATCTCTCACTAGAGGGGCAGAGAAGTGTATTACTTCTTTTCCACCCTCACCTGAGAACCTCCTGACTGCTGAGGTGGCTCTGCTATTTTCCCTGTGGCCAGTGAGGTGTAGGTGGGGGGAGCAGGGGACATGAGAGACAGCTACTGTTCTATTCTACCCAGCCCTCAGCTGATCCACTCCAGTACCTGCCTCTGCTCAGAGCTTCCCCAAACAGCAGCACAGAATGACCCTGATTCTCCCCCTGCATAGGACTCTGAAGGGCAGTCATGGAACTGACCAACATCTTGTTAATTTCACTCTGCAGCTGGTAGGCAAAGTTCTGAGCAGGGGCAGAGAAGCTGGAGCCTTCCACCTCTATCCGTGCATCCACGTTCCACTCAAGAGGGGTTTGTTCCATAGCTAGAAGCAAAACACACACACACACACACACACAAAATGAAAGCTTAAATTCTACAGAAGTTGGTTTCTTCTCCAAGCTCTCTGGGGAAACTCCTACTCACGGATGAGGCGCGGATTAATTTGCGCTCCAACGCTGCTGGGGAGCTTCTCAAAGGATGTTTAACTGCTAAACAGAGAAGATGGATGGGAGGGAGTTAAGAAAAAAAGTCAACACAATATGCAGAAGTGTGCAGGGAGAGACGCTGCCACTGGGAAGAGATTCCCTCCCCTCCCCGCCCCTGTCAAACTGAGGAATCCACACCTACAGCAGGGGGTGCTGTGCTCTGAGGGAAACATCTTTCAGATACAAATTGAAGCTGAAATCCTGGCTGACTGGAGCTCCATTGCCCTTCCCACCTTCTGAGTTTCAACTCTTCTTCATTTCCTCTCCTCAGCAGCTGTGTAACATTGCCCTGCACCGTGAAACAGCTGCTGTGAGCCACCCAAGAGGTGGCTGCATTGCAGTGCCGCGGGAGGTGGGGAGCAATTATAGTGTATACTGCGTGTCAAGTACTGTGGGGTCCTTGGGGAAGGAAGGTGCTGCTATAAGCATGCAGGCAATAGCCCGCGTCCCCCTTGGCTACTGGCTCACTGTGTCTCACTCTGAAGCCAGGGACACTTCTTACCCCTCTTAACTACCCAGTGGGTTTTGAAACCACTGCACTCATTTAGCAAGTCTGGATGGGGAGACGAGGACCGGTTTAATCCCTTTGAAGTTACTCACCTCCTGAGATCACCGCTCTGGATATAAGTCAGGTCTCATTGGGAAACTAGGCTCTCTCATGCCAAAAGGCTGAGCCCTTAGACACATTAACCCCTTTGTGCCTGGACTCTGCTTCATAACAAGGTTATCACTCAATGGAGGTGTATTTACTGCATGGGGCAGCCCTGACGATGCCCATTTTGGGCTGCCGAAGGGGTTAAATCAGACCTCCAACCCAGAGTGCTCCCTGGGCTTCAGCTGAATGCTGGCTGGGGTGGGTGAGGGGTGTTTGCAAAGGACCCCACTGGAGCTCTCCTTTCAGGCCCCATGGCTAAGCCCTGGCACTGGCTGAAAGGAAAAGCTCCTTTTCCAGCTGTCAATGACCTCACGTGTCTCCTAATGGTCTCCATGCACCGCGCACACCATCAATTCATTAGGTGAAGCAGTTGGTGCTGGGCACCCACAACAGGGCACAACCCAAGGACAGGGTTCGGCTAATCCAAGCCAATGAGGGCCAGGCTCTCCGGACCCCCAGCAGCCCCTGGCTCTGCCTCCCAGGGCAATGGCAGGTGAACAGTGCCTGCGTCAGGCTGCGAGCGCCCACTTGGGAAGCCCAGTGAGAGCAAATGTGTCGTTAGCCAATGAGTGTGCCACTGGGCCAGCTAGGGGCTGCAGCTCAGCGAGCCTCCAGGCAAGGGCCTCCAGATCCACCTGGACTCCCTCAAATCACCACCATCAGTCTTTGGGGATCCCAAATCCTAGTGCAGCCACCTCGCCTGGGAGGCCCTGCAGTGCTGCAGCAGAGCCTAAGCTGTGTCAGCAGCCCAAACTCCTTCCCCCCGCGATGGCTCCAAACACACCTGAATGCTCCTACACTGCTCCCTCTTCCCTCAGCCAGTCCTGCCCTCTGCAGCTGCATCTCCCCACCCGTGCTCCCCTCTCCCGACCTCCATCGGGGGTGTGTGTGTGTGAGAGGAGCTGCCTTTGCTGAGCACCTCCAGAGTCCTTCGGCCCTCATGGCTGCGGGGTGCAGGCCTCCCCCAGCCCAGACCTGT